TATCCTGGACCATTGGAAGAAAAATAGTGATCGATACCCAATACTTTCCATGATGGCCCGTGATGTGATGAGTATACCAATAACAATTGTTGCTTCGGAGTCTAGTTTCAGTGTTGGTAGCAAAGTGCTCGGTAAATATCAAATTTCATTTTTACCAGAGAATGCAGAGTCTTTGATATGTACCAGGACATGGATTTCTGGATATGAAGTTAAAGGTAATATTTTAACTTATATTTTACATGTTTTAATATTTTAGTTTGTTAATATATTACGATAGTTAACTTATATTTTGTTAATTGTAGATGAGGAAATTGATGATGCTCAGCTTGCTGTGCCATTAAGCCAAGTGCCAACGGAGAAGGAGATTACAAAATCAGGGGCGGCTTCTAATGCCGGCAATGTGTAATAGACTTTCTTTGTTTAGTGTGTTTGGTTAAACAATTTTATATGTTTAATTGTTTAGTGTTTACTACGTATGTTGAATGCTGAACAATTTTATATGTTGTATGTTTAGTGTTTAGTGTTTACTAATTAGTAATTACTATGTATGTTTAGTGTTTAGTGTTTACTAATTCTATATGATGAAGTTTGATATAAATATGAAAAATATTAATATTGAATTAATGATGTTTGGTGAAAATCTAATCAAATTTAATTTAATCATCCATTTATTTAATATAATAAGTTAATAACTAACAAGCTTAATAAATGAATTTTATATCAAGTTTTTAAATCAATACAATTTATATCTTCAGGCATGTAATTTGAATAACAAAAAACATTAAAAAAATAACAAAAATCTGGAAAAAAAAATTTACAAAAAATGCCATTTTCCGTGGGTGCCCCGCAGGTTGACCCGTATTCGCACGAGAAGGGTACGTGTCATGCACATACTGACCCATATGAAAAATCTACCTGTGAACCCATACCCGTTTCACCCATGACCCATTGATACCCGGCCCGTACCCGCCCATTTGCCAGGTCTAACTGTAGTTAGAACCAATTCATAACTTGTTTGCAACTCTCTTCGTTTCTAGTATTGGAATGCTTGTATATTTTCTATGGAACCATGTGGACATATTGCTAGCATCTGTTATTCTAGTTATCATTGTAAAGACTAGTGTCGCTCCTATAGTTATTCGAGTATAGCATGAGGACATCATTCCTTGTGAGTTGGTTTTCTAAGCTTATAGAACAAATACATTATTGTGCATATAATTTGCTAATTCTCCAGCTAACTAATAATGACTACTTGTTTGTTAGTAACAAGAAGGTCAAACTTACACAATATCGTTTCAGAATTCAAAAAATGTCAGAAGATTATAAGGAATTGATAATCAAGTTAGCCATTCTAAAACTTCCAATCGAGATGCTGATGCTTTTTAAATGTGTATCAAAGCACTAGTTTCACTTGATCAACAGTAAAGAATTTAGAAGGTTATATCTTCAACATAGCAAGATAAACAGCGACAACCTCCATTTGTTTATGTCGAGTCGTAGGCTTCATGGCCCAAAGATGATTGGCACATTAGTTTCTGTTGATGCTTGTCGTAATCAAGAACTAACACAAGTTTACAGTGAATGGTTTAACAAGCATTATGAAACTGTGGGTTGTTACAATGAGGTCATATGCCTTTATCGTGAAGGGCGATTTAGACTTGCTCTTTGGAATGCGTTCATCAGAAGGTATAAAATGTTACCCAAGGCTAGGGTCAGCAATATTCTGGGAGGGGATGAACATTTTAGCCATGGATTTGGACATGATGAGGTGACAGATGACTACAAGGTAGTCCAGATCTTCCAGTGATTCAAGAATGGTAAGCTGTTGGTAACTGATGTGAAGGTTTACAGCTTAACATCAAATTTGTGGACAAAGGTTGAAGATTTTCCATTCGGTGGGTATGATTTTCCCAAGAATGGTTATTTCATAAATGGTGCTTTACATTGGTTGCCAATTATAAAAAAATGACTCAACTGCAAAACCCTTAGTTGTTAGGTTTAAGCTACGGGAGGAAAAATTTGATCTGTTGCAAGCTCCTAATGTTGATAGCGTTGATGAACTCCGTTTGGGTGTTTTAGGAGATTGCTTGAGTGTCTGTGCATCAAATGAGGAATTCTCCACTGCTATCATATGAGTGGCAAAAAACAAGGAACCCTGTACTTGGATTAAACAGCATTTAGTTGTGTTTGACGACTCTGACGAAGGCTCATACTACAATATTAGAACCTTGGCATATACGGATAAGGGTAAAAACTTCTCCTAGTTGTCAGGTTCAAGACTTTTCTCTTGTATGATTTGAGGGATAAAGAAGACAAAAAATTTCCCTTACCTCGTTACACAACTGGTTTTGAAGCTACGACATGCATTGAAAGTTTGGTGTCACTCAGTGTCGATAGCAAAGCTGATGTGTGAAAGGTAAAGATATAAAAACATCCTTAGGAGTAATACATTTTCAATTCTGTGTTAAGTCAAGTAAAATTTAAAGTTGATGCATTGTTTTGTATGGCATGTTTGTTTCTATATGCATGCATGTAGTTTTTAGAGTGATTCATCTCACCATTTTCTTCAATTTGTATAATTCTAATTCAATTTTGTCAATTTGGGTTGTTAGGTGGAGAAGAGAGGGATGATGCTTGAGGCAGCTGGGCATTTTGGGTTGAGCTGAAATTTTTGTGAGTGGATTAAGCGAAAATCCTCTTACAAACTTAAGTTTCAAGTTTTGCATGTTGAGCCTTGGTTTGATAATTCATTGTTGGATGTTGATCTTGACTTAAGTGTGGTGTTTGATAAAAGTTTTCCTTTTGTCTTCCGCTGATCTAAACATGAGTGAAACATGCAGTAACTTTCTAAAAAAAAGAATGAGTTTTCAAGTTGCATGTACTTTAATAGTTACGGGCTTTTCAAATGTGTGGTGGTTATGTTTTTAATTGGTTCTTTTGGAATGTTGTTGTACCATAGAAATGAATGGGTTGGCGTTGATTTATAAAAAATTGAAGAAGGGCTTATATATGTGCAGGGTTTTAGTGATGTTTAGTGTTAATGTTGGCATGTTAAAAATTTGGTAGGATAATTTCATTGAGTATGACTTTTAAAATGCATATCAACTTTAACATTGTTGTTTAACTAGGTATATATATATTTATAACAGCTAGTCAAGGACCAGTCCCAAGCAGGCCCAGGACTGGTCCCAAATGAGACCAGTTGCTCATGGTAAATTTTTTTTTTTTATATAAAATTTCCTTTTAACCTCTATAATTTATGTTTATTTCAAAATTTATAGGAGGTTTTATGTAATTGTATAAGAAACATTATTGTTTAATTTCATTGAGTATGACTTTTAAAATGCATATCAACTTTAACGTTGTTGTTTAATTAGGTATATATATTTATAAGGGTGTTATTGATGGAATTGCTTTTAAATTAGACTGATAGTTTTAATTAAAAATGTGTATTTTTCATGGACAGTGACGAGTTAAGTTTACTTGGAATTTTAATGTGACTATGGTCTATGGATGAAAAATGTGGTATAGAAATTGATATACGTATATTCATGCTATATAAATAAAATGCTGCTGTTGGGAGTTGAGAATTGATTGAATTGTATATGGGTTGAGATTTGTGATGTGGTAAATGGTTTTCTCGGTAAAACGGGCAAATGGGGTGCATTCTATAAATTTTGATAGTATGTTTTAAAAACTTGCATTTTACCCCTTATTTTCCATGAAATCCCATGTGTTGGCATGATTTCTCCTTATATGAAATGTGGCATATATGTTATGAAAATGTTGGTTTGAGATAGAAAAATGAGATAAGAGTGGTTATCAAACCACCCGGCGAAGTACCCATCCCTCAATTTCAAGCTCTACCCATGCGATGCAGGATTCGCTAGGTATTGAGATATTCGATCTTCAGGGTCTATGCATGCGTATAGAGATATTTTAGTGCTCTACTTTGGGGTCGAGTTTGTCTGCCAGGTATTGAGATGGTTTTCTTCAAGCTCTACCCACGCGATGATAGATCTTGTCGGATATTGAGAAATGTTTTTTTCCCAGCTTTGTCTGTGTGTGGGACGCCCACCAGGTATCGAGATTTTTCCCTAGAGTGCTAGTTGTGGTAAGAACCTTTAGTATCAGTTTACTATTTCGGAACAAGATATTAGTTTATTGTTTTCAAATACCAACTTACAGTTTTCAGTATCATATTATGTTTAAAACATCATTCTAATTATACATCAGATTATGTTTAAAACTCTAGGTTTAATTAATTTTCCCTTCACGTGGTCACACAATCTGATATAAAATTAGAATGGTGTTTTAAACACAAAACATATTAATCGTTACATAATCTAATTCATAATTCTTCTGATATATAATTAGAATGATAAAAACATATTGATAAAGAAGATTTAAATGATCATTTACTACCATTTAAATTTTGTGATTGTGAGTCTATAGAAACTTATGTAAAAGATAAGAGAAGAAAGTATATTTAAAAAGTTGTTCAAATGTTTCATAAGATTAAATCAAATGAGCTAAACAACCTTTATTTATAATAAAATAATCTAATAAATTTGATTTATAAGTTACATTATAGTTAATTTACCCAAATGCTAAAAGAAATAGTACATAATAATAAACTCGTCATCTCCTGCCTTCACCTCTCTAATTGTTGACAACTCCTTGATTCCTCTTGCATGAATCTTGATATAGTCAAGCTTTTCTTACCTAAAAATGCCAAATCACAAATATGTGAGCTTGAGAGTAAATTAAAATAAATAAATAAATAAGTCATTAACTAAATTTCCATTAAACTAAAAAAGAACTCCAAAAGACTTACTATTGAATTTGAGCGGTTATCTCCTTATCATCAACATTATATGGCGAAACGAGACTTTCAAGACACATATAAGCATTGTAATATCCCATTTTGATTGGGAATATAATTATGTTAGATGTCGTCTCCTTCAAGTTATACCAGGTAAGAGCGTTAAAATTTTCTTTCATTGTAAGTTTTTCTCCGTTCTTGGAATAATATGCAACAGGTTTACATATCTATCAAGATCAACAATGGGATATTCCAATTTAAACGAATGCAAATCAAACAAAAACAATTTAATCCAAGACTCCCCAACTCCATATTGTTTCATAACCCATACATAACAAGTCTCACAAACCTCCTCAAAAATACGTAGGAATCCTCCCAGATTTTCAATTTGAAAACTCTTCCCATTCCTATTAGCATTTGGATGTGGAATTGTAGTAAATTTTTCAGCTTCAAAATTAAAAGCAACAATTGACCACTCTAATCCTTGAACCCAAAATCCATATTCATTTAGTATCAAAGGATACGCTAACCAATGTGATGCACCATTTACAAAGCACCCTTGACTATAATTATCTGTAAACTCATAATTACGATCACCATAAGGATAATCTTCAATATGTCTCCATGAATTCAATTGAAGACTATAAACACAAATTTGATTGCGAATAATAGAATTTTTGCGATTAACATCATCTGGGTAAAAAATCTGAAATATTCTCAGTACCTTATAGTCATCATGTACATGATCATATCCAAATCCGTGGAGAGCCTTCAAATTCTTTAAAAGATCAAATTCAAGTTTAGGTGCCTGAGGTAACTTCTTGTACCACCTTGTAAATGGATTCCATAAAGCATAATCAAAATCAAGAAATTGAGGGCAAAGAAACCCCATTACAACATCCAATTATTTATGTACAAAAACACTGTGTACGTGAGCCAATCGTTTGACAGCTCATTGGGATGTCTACTCTTGAGCCCAACATTATCAAAATATTTTGAACACGAGCAGAGTTTATTGGAACTAATTTGAAACATTAGATGAAAATTGGTGTTGGAATTGATGGATTGTTGACGATGCATATTAATGAAATACTTGCTATCGATCAAATCACGCCAAAACTTTGACACACATCTAAAACGAAGAAGAGACTTTACCGGTAGCCTCAAAAGTATATCTACTATTAATTCTTCATAGAGTTCTAACATTCTAAACACGAATCAAATTAACAAACCACTTACCAATTGATTCAACACCAGTTAGCAGAACCCTACGATTCCACCACAATAACTACCCTGGAAAATTCTGAAATATTATTGTTAAAACCTGAAATAAAAAAGCATATATATAGAATAGAAATCCTAATTCTACTTTGTAATCTAATAAACAAAGTAAAATCCTAATTGATATCGGAAATAAATAATACTCAACTAATTAAGATTTCTTAATATCTTATTCCTTATCCTACTCAAAATCTAATTCCTGAACCTACTACTAAACAAGACCACTTACGATTTCTACTAAACTTGTTAAAATAATTAATTATTAATAATTTTGTATCACTTTTCGAATATTTATCTGCCTTTAATGGCCTCAATTGCTCTCTCTTCACTTATTAATGAAATTACTCTGCAGCTTCATTTTCAGAAAGTAAAAAAGAAACAAAGGCAATACAAACCCATAAATTTTTTAATAATTTTTAAATTTTAATTTTGTCAATAATTTTTATTATTGTTAGATTGTTACATTTAACTAATAGAATCATCATTCCGGTTACATTATATCAATTCTTAAATGTTTGAATTGCAATAAATGGATTATAATAAAAAATTGTTGGGAAAAAAAATAATTAAAATATAATATAAACCAAAATTAATATAATTTTATTATTTTAAAGATTAAATTTAGCAACCCTAAAATTAATATAAACCAAACCATTCAATGAAGTTTGCGTGGGAAAATGTTATTCAACCTCAGTTAAAAATTGTAAAGTCAAATAGTAAAAGGTATTATAGTCTTTTTGTAGTTTTAATTCTGTCAAATAATGAATTCCATTAACGGAGATTGACAACGAGTGGAAAATTATTTTTCTCAAAGTTTATGGTGGGAAAATGTAATTACAGCAAACCTTGGGTGGGAAATTGTCATGCCCCCTTGTTCAAAGAGGGATTAGATTTTCACAAGTTACAACAAACATATTTAAAGGGAAAAAATATGAATAATTTAAAATTATCAAAACACTTTTTCTCTCAATTAAAATCTATGAATTTTAAAGTAAAATAAACTTAATTTAAGAGATCTCGATAATTACCTATTTATCAAATCAAAATTATCCAACAATTTTGTTTTAGTATTTTTAAAAAAGTAAGAGTTGGGTGATTATTATGATGTAGGATTTGAAAATTAACAAAAACACCCCTTAGGTTTGTTAATTTACTAAACACCCCTATAATAAAATATTAAAAATTAACAAAAACACCCCCACCCATCCATTAAATACCGGTAGTCGACCACCACCACCGGAGGGTGATCGGAGATGTCTTATCGGTGCAAGACCGGTTAAAACTAGTCATTCATGCACCGATATGACCTTTTCCAACTAGATCTATGGTTAGATTCAGCCATTAACGGTCAGATCTGGTCGCGTTTGGTCGTCAACGACGGCCAAAGATATGGTCTTCTTTGATGACTAGCTACGTCAAGGATCTGGTCATTAACAGCCAAATCTTTGGCTGTAGATCTGGCCTTTTCCGACCAAATCCATGGTGGATCTATCTAGAAAATACTAGATCGGTGCACTGCAGACCAAATCCAGCTGGTAGTGCACCATTATACCAGATTCTGGCCACCTTCCAGGGATGGTGGCTGGAATCTTGCAAATATGGGTGGGTGGGGGTGTTTTTGTTAATTTCTAAACTTTTTTTTCTGTTTAGTTAAATTAAAAAACTTAGAGGGTTTAAAAATAATTGAATAAAATATAATAATATTTTCATAATAGAGAAACAAATGTGTATTTTAGAAATGATAAGAATATGATAAGACAAATAGGAAAACAAACACACCCTTATTTTTTGGGTAAAAAATCATATTGGGCCCAAATCAAGCCCAATTGTAGTTGTCTTTACGCCATGACCCACAAACAATTGACATATGGGTGGGTGGGGGTGTTTTTGTTAATTTCTAAATTTTTTTTTTCTGTTTAGTTAAATTAACAAACTTAGAGGGTTTAAAAATAATTGAATAAAATATAATAATATTTTCATAATAGAGAAACAAATGTGTATTTTAGAAATGATAAGAATATGATAAGACAAATAGGAAAACAAACACACCCTTATTATTTGGGTAAAAAATCATATTGGGCCCAAATCAAGCCCAATTATAGTTGTCTTTACGCCATGACCCACAAACAATTGGCTCTATACCATAACCCAACCCTAATTGGCCCTACATCAAAGTCCAAATCATAAAAGATCCACCCTCCGAGGCGACTCATCCTATAAGTTGGTCCACTCTACGAGTCAGCTCACTAGACTATTCCATGAGTCAGGCCTCTATGATCTAGGCCGCTATTTGACTAAAGGCATCTATGAGTCAGACTCACTCACCACTCAGGCACTCACTCCTCTAGACTTTGGGTCGCCTGAGGATTTCTCCCCCCTTAAGACTTTGAATCCTACACGATTTCGTACACTCAGTGAACATTATATATATATATATATATATATATATCTCAGCCCATCTCATAAAAAAGAAGCAAAAGGCTTGTTTGAATAGGAGAGAAAAAGTTAAATAAAGATGGTAATAAAGGGGCTTAGAAAAAGTCGTGGAAGTTAGCTTCTGTAAGGGTCAAAGATAAGTTTGATTAGATGATAATTATTTAATCATTATGTTTTAATTAAAACAAATTGTTTTTATTTTTTTTTAATGTTTTGAAAATTATTATTTTTTAAATATTTATATAAATAAAAAACACACGTTAAAACAATCTATTATTTAAATATCTAATGTTCAATATATATGTAATTAAAAGAGGTCTTTATTCGCAATCAATGTTCAATATATATGTAATTAAAAGAGGTCTTTATTCGCAATCAAAACATATTTAAACCAATAAAATTGAGATTGAATTAGAAAACCATAATTGGTTAAAAATATTTTCCATATTTTTTACAAAAATTGAGAGTCTGCAGCAACCCATCACTACAATCTCCTACTTAAGATGCAGATGATGCGAATGATCAGACGGTATGTCTAGTCCCCACTATTCCCTCACTTAACAATCCTTTAAACTTCTTATATTCTTTTTTTTGTTTTTTTCCTTTAAAATATGTTTGTTGTAACTTGTGAAAATTTAATCCCTCTTGGAACAATATAAAACTCTTTTGTCTCCCAATTAAAATCTATGACTTTCAAAGTAAAATAAACTTAATTAAAGAGATTTCAACAATAATCTTTTATTAATTATGATAATTAATAAGAAAATTAAAATGCAATTTTGTAGATACAAAAAATCTATCGTCATGATAATAGGTTCTGATCCCGCGAGGTTGAGGCCACTTACAATCCACTAGACCTGTACAAATGAAAGGGCAAGCGTGAAGCTTTCAGAAAATACCGGGGTGGTGTTTGCCATATGCACTTCGACGCTCAAGTCAGCAAGGTTGAAAGAGATTATTTGATAAGAATTAAGGAGATGAAGAATTATCAGGAGTCTTGTCGAATGTGTCGGGTTCTTGAGAGCAAGAACTTAGTAACAAATAAATGGTTTCGAGTAGTGTAGATTGACTATGAGAGATTGCATGCCTAATGAGAGGGCAAACCTCTGTTTTTATAGTGAATCCAAGGGGCTGGAATCCTAGTAGGATACTGAGTCCTCTTTTTTGGGAGATAATCCCTATCAAGAAAGAAATATGATTTTTTGGCCTTATCAAATTAAGTTTAATAGTTTAAGTGAGATTTGGTTTAATAGTTTANTTTTCTCCTTTAAAATATGTTTGTTGTAACTTGTGAAAATCTAATCCCTCTTTGAACAATTCAAAACCCTTTTGTCTCTCAATTAAAATCTATGACTTTCAAAGTAAAATAAACTTAATTAAAGAGATTTCAATAATAATCTTTTATTAATTATGATAATTAATAAGAAAATTAAAATGCAATATATTATGCAAACAATAGTTATCTCGTATAAATTTTTTTCTTTAATATTATTATAATCAAAATATTTTCCCTATTTTACTCATAATTTAAGTTGTTAGAACATAGTTTTCTTTCATTTTTTTTCTCTATTTTTTAATTAATTTTATATATGGGTAATGTTATTTATATAAACTCTCGTATAAAAAGAGTTTGTACAAACTGATGTGATACGTTACATGACATACTATATGGTATTGAAATTATATAATTTAACGTCACGTTAATATTATATGAGCTCTTATATCGCGTGATACTGTGTGAAGTCAATTTATACAAACTCTATGGTGGGAGAATTTATACAAATAGCTTTACCTCTATATTATTTTATTTTCCGGCTATAGAACAAGTCTCATCTAGTGTACTTACTGAAAGCTGTCATAAACACGTGTAAATAAGCACGCAGTTTCGCTTGATTAATATGAAATAGGTCATGAAAATCTCATGTGCTCACCCACAGCGAGGCCGTGCACCAGAAGCACCATTTTGGTAAATTCACAGTATATGTAAATAAATAAATTAAAAAAGAATAAACTCAATTAATAGCGTAAGATGACAGTCTTAGGTGATGACGGCTGTTTATTTGTATGTGTATAAGTGTGAGAGCACAAAATTCTAATCGCTCCATCTCTGTTTCTTTAGCCATCTAAGAGAGAGTGATAAACATATTAAATACTTGCTTAGGGTTTTGGTTTTGGTTTTGGTTTTCGGTTTTTATTTGTGATTGAGCTGCGGCTGTGAGAGATACGATCTCATGCTCACACCGCCACCGTAACCGGCGGCGGGGGCCCACACTTCAATGTCTCCCGTTGAATCGTTTGATCACGCCGTCCACTCACGTCCGAAGCGTAAGTTGGACGATTATGCCCCTAACTTAGACGGTGACGATGACGACGCGGAAACATCTGACCTCGTATCCGTGAGAATGCGAAAAGACGAACCTAACGCCGTCCATCAGTCCTCCGACTTGAGTGGCCCAATCGTGTCGGATGCAGCCGAGACCAGTTCCGCTGAGTCAAGAACGACAACTAGGTCTAGACTTCAATTTTTTATTCGGATGTTATCGGAGGGTAATACTATAGTTATTCAAGCTAACTCAAACGACACCGTTAAGTCAATTCACGAGAGGATTCAAGTGATGACGGGGATCCCGGTCATGGAGCAACGGTTAATTTACCGGGGAAAGCAGTTGCAGTGGGAACAGTCGTTAGCGGAGTGTTCGATACAAAACGACGCCGGGTTACAGCTGGTAGGGCGTATGCGAAGCACGGAACATCCACAAGCTTGGCAAGTGATTGATGATATGGTAGGTGTAATTTGTCGGCTTTGTAAAGGTGAACTGGTACAGTCCTCATTAAAACTCATAAAATCTCGAATGACTGAGTTTTTTGCAATGACACCAAAAGATGATAATGATTTAGCAATTGGTTATCTTCAAATATTTATGTATTCTTCTGCTCCGGCTGCGTTGGTAATGCTTTATATGTCACCAATGAGTGGTAACAAAGAATGTGCTGATAGTTCAATTAGGCATTTTCTGAATTCCTGTAGAAATGCATTACCCAAGAATTTACATACGCAATGTGCACCCATAGTTCTAGAGTTCTGTAAATTGCTTAGGAAGTTTACTCCTGAGGATACGTTGTATTTAGCATGCCGGAGTACATTGGGATCATTGTTGGAGAATTTTGGTGGGTCATTGTGGGAAAAGATTGGTGTCTTGCAGGCTACAAAGTATGGAGATGATGTTAAGGGGTTGGTTGTGATTCAAGATATTTTTCCCTTTGTTAGTGAATTGGCTGGTAGGTTGTCCAGGGATTTGACTTCAAGTATGGAGATGGTGTTGAGCGTGGGGCCATTGGTGAGTGATGTTCGTGATTTTACTGCGTTTTTGGTCCCTTTACGTAAAGCGATCTTGGGGCAGGTGGGAATTACATGTCCTATTGCAGTGCCATTGCCGAAGAGGGGATATAACCATCCGTCTCATGGGGATGAGATTGAGTATCTTCATGGTATATTTCGCGACCTACTGATGAGAATGGATAAATGCCTTGGTAAAGTGGAGGAACGTTTAAATGTGAGAGGTAGTGGGGATGGTGAAATTAACTACAATTTATGTATCATATGTTTTAATTAAAAACAAATGTTTTTATTGTTTTTAATGTTTTGAAAATTATTATTTTTTATATTATATAAATAAAAACCACGTTAAAACAAACTATTTTTAAATATCTAATGTTCAATATTTATGTAATTAAAAGGGTCTTATACGCAATTAAAACATATTTAAACCAATAAAATTGAGATTGAATTAGAAACCATATTGGTTAAAATATTTTCATATTTTTTACGAAATTGAGAGTCTGCAACAACCCATCACTACAATCTCCCACTTAAAATGCAATGATCAGACCGTATGTCTAATCTACACTGTTCTCTAACTTAACAATCCTTGAAGTTCTTAATTCTTTTTTTGTTTTTTTCTTAAATATGTGTTGTAACTTGTGAAAATCTAATCCCTTTGAACAATTCAAAACCCTTTTGTTCTCAATTAAAATCTATGACTTCAAAGTAAAATAAACTTAATTAAAAGATTTCAACTAATCTTTATTAATTATGGTATTAATAAGAAAATTAAAATGCATATATTATGCAACCATAGTATCTCGTATAAATTTTTTCTTAATATTATATAATCAAAATATTTCCCCTATTAACTCAATTTAAGTTTTTAGAACATGTTTCCTTTCATTTTTTTTTTTTCCTCATTTTAATTAATTTATATTAGGGTAATATTATTTGTACAAACTACGAGAGTTTGTACAAACTAACGTGGCACGTCACATGCAGGGGCGGACCCAGACCCCTGAGGGTTGGCCCAGGCTTGGCATCAATTTTAAAAAAATTTGAAAAGTTTTTTTAAAAGGTAAAAAAAAAAAAAGTTAAAAGTTAAAAAATTTAAAAGTTAGGTTTTATCTTTTTATATTAAGTTTTTCTTCCCCAATTCCCAACTTCCCTTTTACATGCGGATCTGGATTTGGAGTGATTGTAATCCATCTTTTTGTAAACCCTTGTTTATTTATTTTGTTAGAGTTGTGATTGAGCTCTAAATTTATGTAGAATATTTGGTAGTTTGTGGTTATTGTAAATGATAAATCTATTTTTCTTTATATTGCATTGAATTTCGTAGGTATAGGATACTTCTCATACAATTTGGGTCATAATTGCTACCTAATTCTATTAATTTGCATTTGCAGGCCTAAACGATGATTTTGAGCATAAATTGGTAACTTGAGCTTGGAAACTCAGAATGACTGATTTAGAAGCTTTAAAAACTAAGAAGTAGAGCTACAACTTTCATGTGGGTTTTTCTAATTCCAACTGGACAACGATGAAAACTTGGCTTGAAGTCATGAACAGTATGTTGGAAACTGAAGAAAAACGTCTTTGGACGTGCTTCGTATTCTATATAACTTGAGCTTTAGACTTCGGATTGTGCTGATTCTTGAAGATTAGAAACATAATTTAAGGGTTACAATTTATATGTTTAACACTTTTCCAGATTCAGACTCTTTCATGCTCAAATTTGGCCCGAAAAATTCTCTCTGTGGTAAGGAAAAAGCTTCACTGCGGCGAAACTGCGTCAGATTGAAAAATAAAATGATGCATTTTGGCTTGCTAGGGCTTGGTCCTTAAGTGAAAAAGGTATAAATTAGCATGAAAATGAGAAAGAAAAAGGGTCTTGGGTTCGTCATTTGGAAGACAACTCTTGGAATGAGAAGATATTGAAGGTTTGGGCTTCAAATTAGAGAAGATTTCTCCATCTTTTCCTTGTTTTCAATGATGAATCTTGATTAATTTGTTTTTGTTATTTTATTTTGTTTTTGGTATGAACTAAGTTGTTTAGCTAGGGTTTGATGTAACCTTGATACAATGATTCAAATTATATGAATTGATTTTTTGAGTTTTAATTTCATGATTGAGTGTTTATCTCTTTGCTTAATGACTTTTGGATGTTGATCACTATTCAATGTATGTTGTTCACAATGAGATGCGAAGTGATTTGTGATTGTGCCTCGGCATAAATACTGTAGATTAAGCAAATGCTAGAGATAGATTTAGCGATTATGAAATCTAGATAGATTCCATAAAACTTAAAAGATTTTGAATTATTAATTTTTATTTGTTGGGTGCGGAAGCTTAATAGGGATAAGTAGGAAATATAGTCTGAGAATGATGTTTTACAACTTAGAGAATTCGATTTTCAATCAAGGAATAGAACTTGGGTAATAGATTATTGATTTGAGTTAGCGTATCTAGGTGAAATCAACCACTAGCATTTTTTTAAATTAGTTAAGTTGTTGGGTTTTGCTTTAATTTATTATAATCATTTATATTTCTTAATTGTATTTGGTTCGTTAATTTTCATCAACCAATTTATGTTGCTTCAATTATGACTTAAACTAGAGAAATTGGTACTTAGTAGCACTATCCTCGTAGGAATGATACTCTACTTATCACTTTATTACTTTTGCGACTAGTGCACTGCTACATTTGCATGTTTGTCAAAACTCTTTGATTATATTGGATTTAAGTGGATCGTTAGTATTCTGTGGTTTTTTATCTTCACATTGAAAGGGTTTTTACACGTAATAATTTTTAGTGTTTCTTGTGTATTGGATATTATTTTTATGTTTTCACTAGTTGATTGGCAAACAGTGGCGGAGCGAGGGGCCCCCCTGGCAAAAATCCTGGGTGCCACTGGTCACATGACATCCCAAGTGACATTGAGACCACATAAATTAATATACACTTAATGTCATATGGACCTTATATCACGTGGTATTCATTGTGTGGTGTGCAGTGACACTCATTTGGTGTTCAATATTCAATAATATTTAACAATCTATTATTTAAATATCTAATTTCAATATTATGTAATTAAAAGAGGTCTTTATACGCAATTAAAACATATTAACCAATAAAATTGAGACTGAATAAAAAACCATATTTGGTTAAAATATTTTCCATATTTTTTATCAAAAAATGAGAGTCCCAGCAACCCATCATTACAATCCCCGTTTAAGTTGCAAATGTGATGGGAATCGAATCTGAGACATATGTCTAGTCTATACTATTCTCTCACTTAACAATCCTTAAGTCTTATATTCTTTTTTTTTTTTTTTCGCCTCTGTAAAATTATGGTGCATCACTTGGCAGGTCTGACGTGTGCGTGCTGCTCTGACGGGAGCAGGTCGCCCTTCACGTGACTTTCCCACGTCAGCCCTTTATTTCCTGGGGCACAACATAAACATTGTAAAATCCCATTTTGATTGAGAATCTAATTATGGTAGATGTCGCCTCCTTCAAGTTATTCTAGGTAAGAGTGTTGAAATTTGTTTTCATTAAAAGTTTTTCTCCATTCTTGGAATAATATGCAACAGGTTGTACATATTTATCAAGATCAACAATGGGATATTCCAATTTAAACGAATGCAAATCAAGCAAAAACAATTTAATCCAAGACTCCCCAACTCCATATTGTTTCATATCGCATACATAACAAGTCTCACAAACCTCCTCAGAAATACATGAATCCTCCTAGATTATCAATTTGGAAACTTTTCCCATTCCTATTGGCATTTGGATGTGGTATTGTACTAAATTTTTCAGCTTCAAAATTAAAAGCAACAATTGACCACTCTCATCCTTGAACCCGAAATCCATAATCATTTAGTATCAAAGGATACACTAGCCCATGTGATGCACCATTTACAAAGCACCCTTGACTATAATTATCCGTAAACTCATAATTACGATCGCCATTAGGATAATCTTCAATATGTCTCCATGAATTCAATTGAAGACTATAAACACAAATTTGATTGCGAATAATAGAATTGCAATGAATGGATTATAATAAAAAATTGTTGGGAAAAAAAATTAATTAAAATATAATACAAACCAAAATTAATATTATTTTATTGTTTTAAAGATTAAATTTAGTAACCCTAAAATTAATATAAACCAAACCATTTAATGAAGTTTGCGTGGGAAAATGTTATTGAACCTCGTTAAAAATTGTAAAGTCAAATAGTAAAAGGTCTTATAGTCTTTTTGTAGTTTTAATTCTGTCAAATAATAAATTCCATTAACGGAGATTGACAACGAGTGGAAAATTATTTTTCTCAAAGTTTATGGGTGGGAAAATGTAATTACAGCAAACCTTGGGTGGGAAATTGTCATTCCCCCTTGTTCAAAGAGGGATTAGATTTTCACAAGTTACAAAAAACATATTTAAAGGGAAAAAATATGAATAATTTAAAATTATCAAAACACTTTTTCTCTCAATTAAAATCTATGAATTTTAAAGTAAAATAAACTTAATTTAAGAGATCTCGATAATTACCTATTTATCACATCAAAATTATCCAACAATTTTGTTTTAGTATTTTTAAAAAAATAAGAGTTGGGTGATTATTATGAAATAGGATTTAAAAATTAACAAAAACACCCCTTAGGTTTGTTAATTTACTAAACACCCCTATAATAAAATATTAAAAATTAACAAAAACACCCCCACCCACCCATTAAATACCGACAGTCGACCACCACCACCGGAGGGTGATCGGAGATGTCTTATCGGTGCAAGACCGGTTAGAACTAGTCATTCATACGCCGATATGACCTTTTTCAACTAGATCTATAACTAGATTCAGCCATTAACGGCCAGATCTGGTCGCGTTTGATCATCAACGACGGCCAAAGATATGGCCTTCTTTGATGACTAGCTACGTCAAGGATCTAGTCATTAACAGCCAGATCTTTGGCAGTAGATCTGGCCTTTTTCGACCAGATCCATGGTGGATCTAGCCAGAAAATGCTAGATCGATACACTACCGACCAAATCCAGTTGGTAGTGCACCATTATACCAGATTCTGGTCACCTTCCAGGGGTGGTGGCTGGAATCTGGCAAATATGGGTGGGTGGGGGTGTTTTTGTTAATTTCTAAACTTTTTTTCTGTTTAGTTAAATTAACAAACTTAGAGGGTTTAGAAATAATTGAATAAAATATAATAATATTTTCATAATAGAGAAACAAATGTGTATTTTAGAAATGATAGGAATATGATAAG